CATAAAGTCTCTGGAGAGCTGGACGGAACCAGCGGTGAAGAGCATACCATCTCTGGAGAGCTGGACGGAACCAGCGGGGAAGAGCATTCAAACTCTGGAGAGCTGGACGGAACCAGCGGTGAAGAGCATTCAATCTCTGGAGAGCTGGACGGAACCAGCGGTGAAAACATTTAGTCTCTGGAGAGCTGGACGGAACCAGCAGTGAAGAGCTTACAGTCTCTGGAAAGCTGGACGGAACCAGCAGTGACGAGCATACAGTCTCTAGAGGGCTGGACGGAACCAGCAGTGAAGAGCATACAGTCTTTAGAGGGCTGGACGGAACCAGCAGTGAAGAGCATACAGTCTTTAGAGGGCTGGACGGAACCAGCAGCGAAGAGCATACTGTCTCTGGAGGCTGGACGGAACCAGCAGTGAAGAGCATTCATTCTCTGGTGAGTGGGACGGAACCAGCAGTGAAGAGCATTCATTCTCTGGTGAGCTGGGACGGAACCAGCAGTGAAGAGCATGCATTCTCTGGTGAGCTGGACGGAACCAGCAGTGAAGGGCATTCAGTCTCTGGTGGGCTGGACGGAACCAGCAGTGAAGAGCATTCATTCTCTGGTGATCTGGACGGAACCAGCAGTGAAGAGCATTCATTCTCTGGTGAGCTGGACGGAACCAGCAGTGAAGAGCATCCAGTCTCTGGTGAGCTGGACGGAACCAGCAGTGAAGAGCATTCAGTCTCTGGTGGGCTGGACGGAACCAGCAGTGAAGAGCATCCATTCTCTGGTGATCTGGACGGAACCAGCAGTGAAGAGCATTCATTCTCTGGTGAGCTGGACGGAACCAGCTGTGACGAGCATAAAGTCTCTGGAGAGCTGGACGGAACCAGCGGGGAAGAGCATTCAAACTCTGGAGATCTGGATGGAACCAGCGGTGAAGAGCATTCAATCTCTGGAGAGCTGGACGGAACCAGCGGTGAAGAACATTTAGTCTCTGGAGCGCTGGACGGAACCAGCAGTGAAGAGCTTACAGTCTCTGGAAAGCTGGACGGAACCAGCAGTGGCGAGCATACAGTCTCTGGATGGCTGGACGGAACCAGCGGTGACGAGCATACAATCTCTGGAGAGCTGGACGGAACCAGCGGGGAAGAGCATTCAAACTCTGGAGAGCTGGACGGAACCAGCGGTGAAGAGCAATCAATCTCTGGAGAGCTGGACGGAACCAGCGGTGACGAGCATTCAATCTCTGGAGAGCTGGACGGAACCAGCGGCGAAGAGCATTCAATCTCTGGAGAGCTGGACGGAACCAGCGGGGAAGAGCATTTAGTCTCTGGAGAGCTGGACGGAACCAGCGGAGAAGAGCATTCAATCTCTGAAGAGCTGGACGGAACCAGCGGTGAAGAGCATTCAATCTCTGGAGAGCTGGACGGAACCAGCGGTGAAGACTCGGACTCGGCAGGGCTGACTGTGAGCGCAGGCTCGGCAGGGCTGACTGTGAGCGCAGGCTCGACAGGGCTGACGGTGAGCGCAGGCTCGGCAGGGCTGACGGTGAGCGCAGGCTCGGCAGGGCTGACGGTGAGCGCAGGCTCGGCAGGGCTGACGGTGAGCGCAGGCTCGGCAGGGCTGACGGTGAGCAGTGAAGATGAGGGCTCAGGTTTTGGAGTGGTGCTGGTGACTTCCCCACGGAGAATGGGGATCCACAGCACGCCCGCACCCACTCCACACAGGCGAGGAAATTATCTTCTGGACCGCTCCCTGGGAGGCGTGCCCGGGACCGCTCGCTGAGGCCGGCGATGTAGAAAACACACAGCGATTGGTCCGAATAGTGAGTGAGGCACGCCAACTCCAGAAAGTCCCTGGTATGGGACTCCAGGGAGCGGTCTTCCTGGTGCAGACAGAGGAGGCGTACCGCTGGAAGGTCCATAATGCTCGGCTTTCTTTAGAGGTCGGTCGATCTGTCACGGGGTATGGTGCAGGAGAACAGGAGTGCAGACAGAATGAGCGGGAGGAATCCAGATAACCAAAGAAACGTATTTATTTTCCACATACAGGCAGGAGGACGGGGTTTCACAGAGGTAACATTCAACATCGACCGACAACCATTGAGTAAAACAGAGGAAACTAAATACACAGAATAATCAAACATAATGGGGTGAGAACAGGTGAAACAGATGACGATGACGAGGAACAGGTGGCTGATGAGGGAGTGACCACGGGATAGGGTGACGAGAGGATCCTGGGAAGTGTAGTGCTGAAGACAAGACAGACTGGTGCAGACGGAGGACTGTGACAGTTATAGTAGATCTGATGTTGTTTCGCCGGCCCTCCAAACATGCACACACTACGGCACCAGAGTCTTGTATTCTCAGATTAACAAATAGCAGCAGGATTAGACTATTGTTTCATTCTATGAAGATCTTAGATAATGTCTTATTTTTTTGTTTGTGTAAAGCTGAAAAAAAAGTAATCTAAGCTATTATGAAACAAAACAGCCTGTAATAAAGAAATAAGAATACAAGGGAGATTAATGTATGAGGGTATATCGGTGAAGGTGTAAGTATTTCCACCCATTTTACTGTACGTCAGTTGGGTCAAAGTGAACTGGATTAGAGGTCTTGCTATAGAGAGTGGCTCTTAAAATGGTACTGTAATTGCTATGAATTTGCTTTTAATGGTTATGCAGACCACATCACTAATGGTCTAATCATTATTGTTAAAAATGTGAGGGAGAGATTAAGGGACCATTAAACATTAAATTGCTAAAAGCTATTAAGAGCTTATGTTAAATAAATACACTCTGATGCTCTATAGAGGAATTTTGGCGTTTGTTTAACCTGTTAACTGTCACTGGTTGCAATTGAATGCTTTGAAATGCACACTCTTAAAAGTTTCAGTTGGGCAGGGTTCTTGACTTGAGGGTTCCAAAAATATAAGGAGAAATGTTTAAAATGATTGCGCAGCATTTTTTCGCAGCATTTTTTCCATAAATTCTGTAAGAGAAAGCAAAAAATGAAAGGGTAAAAATGTTATAAAAGTTTACTTAAAAAAAGCAAATGCACTGAATAATCATAATTATATTAAAAAATGATATATACAAAAATATTCATAATTTGGACACTAAAATTTCTAGAAAATCAAAGCCACATGTCATGTTGTTAAAGCTTTTGAATAATACCTACTGTATGATTACTAAAATATGTGATATGGATAAAAGGTGATACAAAAATGCACCAAGTGTCCTGCTACCAGGACCTGAGAGTTAACAGGCTTAATAAACACTTTTTTGGAAGATTAATGAATGCATCTTGGGGTGGAAAATATTCAGCAAAATATCACTTCAGCTAGAAAAATGAACAGGAGAAGCTTTGTATTACTAATACATATGTTGATCTACCCTCACAGTCCCTGTGCAGTATGCAAACTGCCACTCAGCCCATTATTGAGTAAAAAGACAGAGATCAGGTCATTTATTAAGGGCTGAGTGGGGACCAGGAGGGGGCGTTTTGCTTTCTGCTGCAACTGTTGAAGTACGTCTCTAATGACTGCTTAAGTTATAATGGGGGAAGTCATGTATGCATCGCTCTTTGAGGGGGCGGTCAGAGTGCAACAGTTCGGAGGGATGGCCATCGTCCCCTTCCCCCTTAAAAAGTCCACCCACATTGATTTTTGATAAGTGAGAATGGTCTTATATTAGGCGGGCTGTTGCCCCTCACCCCCTGGTGGACCTTGTGTCCTAGATAGATGCGCTCACACACATACCCTCATGTAAAAAGAGAGCATATGGTCCTTTCAAGCTTGCACTGTGTTCGCAGACACTCTCAATGGAAAGCGTCAAATGAATATCATCAAAATCATCTCCACCCCCCTCGCAAGGACCTCTCATTATAGGTCACTCATTGGCTGAAATTCAAGCTCAGATGGGGGTGATGCATGTTGCATGAGAAAGTGTAGGGAACCACAGATTGGTCCATATAGCAGGCCTAATGATGGTTAATTAAGGTAATGAATGGAGATGTGCCACAGGTCATGTATAGCTGCCACAGCCTGGTAAACTTTAACAAAACTCACTGGGCCTCGGTGGAGAGACCAGCTGGTGCCATATTGAAAACAGCACAATGAAAGTGTAATTGGCTCTCTGGGTCTCAGGAGGTTGAAGCATTGAACTGAACAGTCGAAATGGGGCTTGAAAACGGCAGTAACTTGTACTGCAACTGTTGCTCTTATAACAAAAAACAAGCATGTTTCAAGCAAAATATTTCATAAATAGAAGATTGATTGGTTGTCAATCACAAAACTATAGCTAGGCCTGTTCAAGATGAAGACAAAATGTATTTGGACTAGTGCCATAATTTGTTTGCAGTCAGATGCCACTTGGTTTGATGTTTTATTTTCTAATGCAATGCAAATTCATATATTTTAAATGTGGCTATGTCCAAATGCTTCTATGTCTACTTTACTTGATTCAGATGGAATCAGATTCAATTTAATGAATTATCAAAGGATTCAAATTTCAGCCAAAACCATATGTAAGTGGACCTTTTTGGATAGGCCTACTGCAATTCAGAACCAATTACTTTCCTAGGGATTTAAATTCCGTAGGCTAAATTTGATCTTGTATTTCCTTAACAAAAACGAATATAGGCTCAAATGGGAATCATAAAGAAAAAAGTAGGCCGATAGGCTACAGTAGCCTAGTCTTTATGTAAACCATTTATTTGGAAACTAAATAGGCAAATACATTAAAACTAACATTATTAATGTTACATGAGTGCCATCATGAATAGACTTTAGGGAGGGAGGGAGGGAGCTAAGTAACAACATTTAAGCCGATTTAACAACTACATTTATGGATTTCCCAAGCAAACGGATTTTAACGTAACAGGGAAAAAAGAGGAATATTATTGTCTTTTCATAAAAAAGCATTTAGCCTATCATTAACATTGCAGCAAGCGTCACTATGTGGTTGTGTGAGGGCGCATATGTCTCTCTTTTGTACGTATTCGCTCCACGTCATCTCCACGTCGCACGCTTGCAGGACACTGACGTAATCAAAACGAGCCCAGTTGAGTTTTGACAATTTTCAAAAGGAATGTTACGTATCACAAAATCCAACCATAGCTATTCATCGATACAGAAAACACGACTCGGATCCGAAGGAATATGATCTTGCTACAGAGAACTAGGTATAACGATCTTACATATTAGAAAAATGGAGAATGACATTGTTGTTTCATATGAGATTAATCTATCTGTTCTCACATTATTCTTGAGACATGAGACAACATTAAAATAAAGTAACGTTACCAGTGTTATATAAAGTTATTATTTATTTTAGATGAGTATTCTCACCATGTTCTAAAGTGTTCACCTGTGTTCTCTCGTTTGTGTTTTCCAACTCATGTATGTATTTTACATACATACATACATACATAAATACATACATACATACATAAATACATTTTACATAGATACATAAATACATATACATACATGTATATGTATTTTACATACATGTATGTGTTTTCCAACTCATGTATGTACAATACATGTATTCATTTAATGTTTTGAATGTGTTATAAATATGGATGAATCTAGAATTAACTTAAATTTTTGACTTAAATAGCTCAATTTATTGAACTCTCCTCGCAGTCAGAAAATATTACAATGTTGACAAAAATAATCATATGATGTGGCTAGGTATTAGCCAGTGGGTAATTCCTTTACAAGTTTTGTGACGTCATAGTTGTGGCAGAAAATATAAGGACATCCTTTGTTATATTTGAATTTATTTCGTGTATTGTTTTGAGTGAGAACAGGCATGTCTTGGCTTTGACTTTGTATTCACTTTTTACATTGTGTGTGTGTGTGTGTGTGTGTGTGTGTGTTTCTGTAGGTAGTGGAGAGAACTGTTGAGCCTGCTGCATTGGGAAATTGACTCCACATCATGTACCTCTGTCTGTCAATATGAGGTTCCCAAAGCTAGCTTTCATCTTTCTGTTTGTGGGATGCCTGGTGGTCTACCTCACCTATGTCAAACGTCATTATGATGACTCCAAGCCACCGGTATCTGACCAGCTGCCTCAATATAGGGTGGATACCCATAAACATCCGACCTCATTTCAGGTGGTCAGTGAAAATTTCCAGTATGGTATAATGTTTGATGCTGGAAGCACTGGAACCCGGATTCACATTTTCAAATTTCAGATGGAGCCAAATGGTATGTTCAAATTTAAGAGCTATTTGAATCCACTCAAAGACTAAAAATCGAAAAGTTCCAATTACTGCTAAGAAGACCACATAATAACCACATAATTTCACATAATAAATTATGATTATGATTCTGTAGTAGTGCCAATAAATATGGCCATGAGGTTTTGTTGAAAATTATGGTTACTGGTAAAAGAAAAATATAAGAGCTGGCCTGGTTAGATCACTTTAACTGTTTATATAAAATTTGAAAACTAGTAGCCTACTACTACTAGTACACTGAAATGCACACATATCTAATTATTTATTTATATTAAATCACATGGAATTTACATGGATATGTTGACTGTGTGGGTGTTACCCACAGATATTAGGTTTACTGCCTAGCGCAGCCCTGATCTTCCAATGGCTTAGTTATTGTATCCCAATTCTGAGCTAAATCAGTTAAGTGCTGCTTTAGCCTTTATTGTTAAACCTATGATTGTCATATTATAATGGACATCAAGTAGTCTATGTTATCATGCACGCCCTCTCTCATGCACACATCCTAGCTAAGCCTGATGGGTCAAAGGTCTCACCGAAGAGTATGGTTAGATTTAATCAGTGGCTGAAACATTTGTTCATATTGTTTATTATGTAAACTTTGGAATAAGGAACCCTACTACTGCAGTTAATCAGTGTTGCAGATATCTTTTTATGAATTTTATTTCATATACTACTGTTCAAAAGTTTGGGGTTGGTCAAATATTCACCAAGGCTGCATTTATTTGATTTAAAAAATAAAGTATAAACACTAATATTGTGAAACATTATTACAATTTAAAAGAACAGTTTAATACATTGAAAATGTAATTGATTTCTCTGATGGCATAGCTGAAGTTTCAGCAGCCATTACTACAGTGTCACATGATTCTTCAGTAAACAAGCTGCTGCTCAAGTCTTCATTATATTTTTTTCAAGCTTCTGAAGACAAATAGAAAGTGCGAAAGAACAGCATTAATTTGACATTTTTACTGCCACTTGATCAATTTAATGCATCCTTTCTGATTAAAAGCATTAATTTCTACAAAAAAAAATGTTAGTGTGTAATTATATTTTTTATAAATCAATGTTATTATATTTCAGTGTTGTAAAAGCTAACATTTGTCTTTGTGTGTTAACAGAAGCTCCAAAATTAGCCCATGAGACATTTAGAGCTATAAAACCTGGACTGTCTGCATATGCTGATGACCCAGAAAAGGTAACCAGTAAAATGTGATCAAGTTGTATAGTTTTGAACCCTTCGCGAATGCCTTTTTAAAAGTTTTGTTATAGTATCTTTTCCATCTACAGTTTGATGGTCATATTAATGTAGCCAGTGCTGTTGTTTTACAGAGTAAAGAGGGGCTGTTGGGACTGTTAAAGGTTGCTAAAGACACGGTTCCTGAACCGTTATGGAGTTCTTCTCCTCTTATGCTCAGAGCCACGGCAGGCCTCAGACTCCTGCCTGGTGAGAAGGCCACCATTCTGCTGGACAAGGTCAGACACCCATCAGTCATCAAACAAACTTTCACTGTATAGAGTGGTATAGGTATGACGTCAAAACCCAGAAGACGAGTGGCTCCCTCGAGATTTTCCTATGGGGTTTTTCAATTTATTCATAAAATAAGGTCTGTGTGGTAAACATAACTTGGTGAAACTTGAACATTTTGTTCTACAATGTAAATTTTGAAGCTCTTATTTCTTTTAAACAACATAGCCCATGTTTCTAACAAGTCACTACTAGATAAGAACGCTTGTAGTTCTTTCTTTTTATTTAAAGCAGCTTATAAATGAGGAATACTTCAACCCAATTTTAAGGAGACATTGATATTAGACATGCAGTACAAAATCACTGTAAAGGGTGGAGTAAAAGTTTTTTTAATACACTAAAGGTTTAATAAGGTTGTAGAGATGAGAGCTGTCTTCAGGAGATTCTTATTTCCTAACCATGCCTTGTCATGTTAAACCTGAAATATCTCTGCTGCAGGTGAGGGAGGTGTTTAGCCAATCCTTGTTCTTCTATAGACCGGACAGTGTGTCAATCATGGATGGCGCAGACGAAGGTACCTTGTTAATTACTCCTTTGCCCTACTTAATAATGTCAGATTCGTAATAAGCAAGAGTGTTCGTTTTCAAATTGTAATAAAATATTCTACAACTTTTAAGCATTTTGTAGCCTACCATATATTGAAAGGAAAAATCTATTGCAGTGTCACTTTTTTAGCGTAATACCAAAAATTTAATTGTATGCATTCTGCTGTAACAAATTAATACATTTCTGTCATACCACTTCCGTCACAAAGTATAAAATGGGTCCTAATCAGTCATCAGAAGAATGCTAGCGTGTTATTGGCTAAAACAACTCAACCTGTAAGAAATCGAAAGGACATATTATCGTTTATTCTACTTTCGACCTATAACCCATGTTGAACTTTCAAAACCTACAATCAAATCTGAGATTTCTCAATGGCAATTGGGTGAAAAAGACAAACTTGGCCATCTAGCTCCATAGACTCCCATTCATTTTACACTCGGATGATCGCCCCCAGTGGAACTCTGATGGAATAACAACCAAAACTCGTACAATAGGACTTAATTGGGAGTGGCCAGGCTTTCCGTAGACGGGACCAGATTTTTTTTTTGCCTCAGTGAGGGGACCAATCACAGAACGGGGAACGAGCAGCAAGACGATGTCAACGTCTATGCGACACACCGAAGCAGTTTGTTTATACCTAGGGATCAAACATGGCAGCAGACACAAAGTTCCCTTCCGATGCAGCCTTAGATACATACGCCATCGTGTACACATTATCAACTGGGTTTAGTTTGACAAGCTACTTTGAACATTTTAGGGTTATTTTTTTTAACATTATTTAGGAAAACTGAGGAAGCACATCCTGAAAGTTCGAACAGATGACAAAGGTTCTCGTTTCTCTGATTGTAATGATGCTGTGTTTTGCTGAGCTATGATCCATGCAGAAGTCTGTCAGTCTGTCAGAATGTGAAACTGACAGATGTTACTGTATATCTCCAGCTCTTCAAAAGCTTTTGGCCACTGCGGTCAAGCGTTTGCGCTTCTGGCATGAAGATATAAGTTGTAAATTGAAATTTTCTTCAGTAATGGCTTGAGCTGTGTGTGTATATTAATGATAGATAATGCGTATATGGGACTTTAATCCAATCCTTTAAAATAGTTCACACAAGTAATAATGAGCCCAGAGGATAATGTCCCGTGTGCACTATAATCTCAGCAAACAGATTAGCGGCCATTAATTTGCTAGGCAGTAAATTGCTTTTAAAGGAACAAAACTAGCATGGGCAAACGGTGTTTAGAAAAAGCCAGGTTAATAATACTGTTTTTTTTGTTTTGTTTTGTTTTGTTGATATACAAGTTGTCTTTGCTTAATGGATAGCAATTTGTGTTTGAAATTTTGTAAAATTAATGCTTAAACTCCTCAGGTCCCGTAACCGGATAATCTCAGTCTCATTATCAGCGTGAGTCTAAACTCTCCTGGACACACAAGCTTACTCAACCAGATTAGTCCATCACAGCAAATCATACAGACTTATTGTTAATGCTATGCCTAAGTGGTATATGTGTGGGAACGGGATGGAGGGATGGAGTTTAGATACTAAGTGAGTTTGGTTATTTCTGAGAGCTAAAGCCCCTTACTTTAAGAAGCAATCTACATTCAAAACAAACATACAGTTTATAAAAGTTTTAGCACAATGATCCAATGATGCACTCACTCGCCAAAGTCTTTGTGATCTGTCCGGACCATGACAATATGTTAATGCTAAACTCTCTAAATGTGTGGAATCCACCAGTATACGATGTACAGTACCGTTCAAAGGTTTTGTATCAGTATTTGTTTGTTTTTTTCAGCATGGTCGGATTAAATTGATCAAAAGTGACAGTTTATTTATAACATTTATAATGTTAATTAATATTAGACTATTTCAAATAAAGCTGGTCATTAAAGAATCCTGAAAAGAAATAGTAGTTTCCACAAAAATATTAAGCAGCACTGGTTTTCAACTATCAATAAAGCATAGTTCATCCAAAAAGTCATCATTTTACTCCTTTATGAGTGTCTTTTTTTCTGTTGAACACAGAACAACCAGACTGTTGTTAAACAAAACAGGTGACATTAGCCGTAGTATTTTTTTTTTCTACTATGGCCCAATGGCTACTGTCAACTGTGTGTAGGTACTAACATTCTTCAAAATATCTTCTTTTTAGTTCACCAGAAGAAAGAATCACATACTGGTTTGGAACAATTTGAGGGAGTAAATGATGACAAAATTAACACCAAATCGGCATATTAGAATGATTTCAGAAGGATCATGTTACACTAAAGACTGGAGTAATAAAGCTGAAAATTTAGATCTTGTTAAATAACAGCTTCTCGTTTCTGATGTTGGGATCTGTCGGATGGATCTGCATAACTGTAGGGGATACACACAGCCAGGAATTATTCTTATTGTATGAACTTTATTACAGGCTTTAGGCCCAACAACAGGACATACACCACACAAAAATCTTCTTCACAGTTTATTCTTAGAAGTAGTTTATTTTGTGTTAAGAATCAATCTTTCTCTGTAGTATATCACTGGTCCGGCCATAAATGTGTAAGTGTGGGTAATAAATGATTAATGTATTTTTCTGCCTGAATTTTTAGCTTATAGTAGGACTGTGAGAAAGTAGTATTTTTTTTATAGTACACTGAACTAAAAAAGTTTAAGGAAAATGTAATTATTGCACTAACAATTAATGCACATTTGTATTTACACAGGGATGTCAGCTTGGATTACCATAAACTTTTTAATAGGTAAGCAATTTTAGTAGTCATGTTATACTGTATGTCACAACAATGTAATCAATGAACATCAACAGAACAATAACAAAGATTAATCTGGACACAAATATATGATTATTTTATACCTTTCTACAGTCACATTGCCCACATGCAAATGTTTTACATTTGTTTTCTTCTTTACTTTTACTTGAAGATGTTTGGTTGATTAGTCAGAGTGATTTAAAAAGTCTTTCCTTCACAGGTAGTCTTCATGGCACTGATACTCCGACAGTAGGCATGCTGGATTTAGGAGGAGGCTCGACCCAGATCACCTTTGCTCTACAGGATGAAGTGAGCCGTGTAGATGCATACATATATATTCACAAAATTCTTTGTGTATGAATAATGTATCATAAATAATAGAGATTGGCATGGTTTTATATCAGTTAGCCTAATAGCTGGTTTGATTTGCATTGTAGATGATGCTATGGAAAGTACCCCCATGCCAATCTCTAGGTATGGTGAAGGGTGTGTGATGATGTGGGGATATTTTAATTCCAAAGTTCAAGGAAAATTTATCAGGATGCATATTATACTCGATCTATTAAATAACTGGCCTTTAAAAATAAAAATCTGCCCGACTCTATGGTAATTAACATAGGGGTGTCTGTTTTTTTTTTTAAGGATTTTTTTTAAAGCCTTTTTTTTATTTATTTATGATACATTATTCATACACAAAGAAAATTGGTGTCCTTAAAGGTTGGATTTTTCCTCATTTTTCTAATTAAGGCATTATGATCAATTTTTTTAATACTCTTTTTAGGCAACTATAGCATGGGTGTCCTAACTTATTCACATCACTGTATGTGTACACACACACACACACAAATATCTTCTGTATACCCATTAGGTATACATTAGGGGTGGTGATGGCGCAGTGGATAAGACACATGCCTTTGGTGTGAGAGACCCGGGTTCGAATCCACTGTGAGACACCAATGTGTCCCTGAGCAAAACACTTAACCCCTAGTTGCTCCAGAGGCATGCAACCTTCTGACATATGTAGCAGTTGTAATTCGCTTTGGATAAAAGCATCAGCTAAATGAATAAATGTAAATGTACCCATGTTAATGAAGTCATGTCTCTCTTAACAAACTACCGTGATGTTGTCTCATCCCATGCATTAATCCACAAATGTCCTGGTAATCCCATGGTAAGGCCTTTTAAATGAAGGTTGTTGTACATTGGACGGAGAGAGTTAGAGAGATTCTTTCTCTTGAACTAGGTCAGGTCCTGTACAAGCGGTTTAGATTGAGGACCAATTTATTATGTCATTACACAGTTTCTCCGAGAGCTCTAGTTTCATACATGAGCTCAGAGAGGAACTGCTCTACAGATTGGAGCTTACTTGTAGTTGCTGACAGATGTTGTGTTATAGTCTGGAGGACTTACATTAGGCAGTTGCTGACTAATGCTGTTTTGAAAAATTATACTGGACAAAAAAATGCAGTGATGAGACTAGTACAAACTAGAATTATAATATTTGTCATTCTACCAGATTCCTTGTTAAGACGTTTGGAATGCTACCTTTAACATCAATATTGCTTGTGTTTTGTTCCTGTACAGAAAACCATCCAGATCTCACCCATTGATTATGTGACATCGTTTCAGATGTTCAACATCAGTCACGCCCTCTACTCACACAGGTAAAGGCGGGCATGGCATAAGTTAAAGTGGTAAAGAATTTAGCGAATAAAGCAATATACAGTATTATTTTGTTGAATTCTGTAGAAGAGATTATTCTGTAAAATCTTTTAACACGTGTAAAAAAAATAAGGACATTTTTACATGTACACATTTTTTTACATGTACACATTTTTTTACATGTACACATTTTTTTACATGTACACATTCTCACTGAGCAATCTGAGAAATTAATTGCAAGTCAATTTTAGGCATTACAGCATTATAACACACAGCATGAGAAATGGATATCCATTTTATATTGGTTGAAGGTGACTTTTTTTACATTAAGTTTTAACTGTTTTTAAAGATTAACATTTAAGTGAGATTTTTAGAGGATGATAATATTAAATGTAAAAATATAAAAAATGAGCACAAACAACTAAATATCCAATATCCTCATGCAAGTCTTTAGTACATCCATTTTAAGTTATAATTATAGTTTCAGCATATTACTGTTTAAATTGGTCCTATTATGCACTTTTATGAAGTCTTGATTTTATTTTGGGGGTGTACTAAAATATGCTTTCATGCTTTCATGTTTAAAGAATGCATTATTTTTCACATTTTACGTTATCGCCAATTCCAATGAAGCCCCTCCTACTGAAATACGAAATGTGCTGTGATTGGTTAGCTGTCCCAGTGTGTTGTGATTGGCAGCGTTTCGCCCGTGTTTGGGAAATGTCCCTCCCCTCCATAACTGCAAGTTCTTCTCTAGTGTAAATATGAAGAAGGATGGCATCAATTTCGAACCAATTTGAGCCCGATTCAGATCCTGACAAAGTTGACAACAAGAGGATCGTGCAGAACTGATTTCATGGACAGATTTCATAGGACGTTTCAGAGTGTTTTTTTTATGGTTATAGATATGATGTTATCCACCATTTAATGGGGATATTTGTCAGAAAACTAAGATCATACAAACAGTAATCAAACACACAAAAAAATGGTTAATTATCCTATGGAGCGGTAAACCATCCTACAAAAGAGAGAGCTTACCAAAGCAACAGAAAACAAGCTGTTCACCATAAGATGTGCATTACACAGATAAACATTGGGATTATAATGTTTAGGAAGTTTTAAAAATAAATTTTAACAACCAGCCTTGGGAAGGTCAAACAAATTTTTATTTTTTTTTGGAAACTGGGTGAAAAAAGCTATATCCTTGCGACTACACTGTCTTTAATGCAGTTCAACCAAGGTTCAACCCCTTTTTGTGTATTCTGTGGGCGGATATTATTTAAATGAGTAACATTACGACTTCATAAGATCCGGAAAAATCGTGTTTTACTCCAAACGAGCCGTTTGTTGTGTCTCTCTTTAAAGAGGACTTTGAGCTTTGCAACCTTGCAGATCTTTTTTATGCTCAGTTACAGCAACATTACACTAACTAAAGTTGAAAAAGTGGAAAAGCATAATAGGACTCCTGTAAAAAATTCAGCTTCCTCAGCGGCCCAACAACAGTGATGTTACGTGACTTGCAGTCATCTCAAAGCTCTGCCCGATGTTTGACACCACCACCCATTGGTTGCTGTGCTTGGTCAGGTCAGGGTTGTCCAGGGCTTTCTAGGTTATGTTAGCTCAATGATTAGTGCATGACAAGTGTTTATGAGGCAGTGTGTGTTTGCCTCGTCTCGCTCTCCTGATTAGAGTGTAATCACACAATCCTCCAATTACAATTCCATCGTGGGACTCATCTCCAGATTACTAGAATTACTAGTTATTCACTGCAGGAGATTTGACGCAGCAGAGACCAACCAAACAGAGTCTTAAAGGCAACATAGTGTTGGATAAGGAATCACTTATGGTTTATGACTCTTGCTCCAAAGTGTGCAATCTCATATCTCAGGCATTCATATGAAATGCTGAAATATTTGTGATTTATAGTTATATGTTATAAAATATGTAAAATATCTAAATGTTTAGGGTCAGTAAGACTTTTAAACTGCTTTTAAAATAAGCCTAAGTTCACCAAAGCTGCATTTATTTGACCAAAACAGTAATACTGTGAAATATTATTACTATTTAAAATAATGGGCTATATGCACGCATAAGTTCCGCATTTGACGCAAGGATGCTCGTCCATTTCCGGTTGTGGAGATTAAAGCGGAGGAGAACCGAGGAAAACGGGATTATGGCAGAGTCTTCCAAATTTACTGTCCTCCCGACTTTGAAACGAAACGTACATACGTTTAGATGTAATTTTATATATAGTTATGTTTATTTAATATAATTTTAAAAAGAAGCATAAACACAACGAGGGGTGTCTGTTTTATCTGTTTTTGTGACTAACGTTTCTTTATTATAACCATGGAGTATAAAATTCAATATAAATTCTCTGTATTGCATTGGACTCTACGATCGGCGGAAGTTTTCGAGCATCCTTAATCCTTCACCGGAAATACCGCCGTGCATAGAGCCCATTATTTTCTATATTAAGATGTAATTTATCTTTTATTTATTCATTTTCAGCATCATTACTCTTGTCTTCATTGTCACATGATCCTTCAGAAATCATTCTAATATGATGATTTTCTGCTCAAGAATCATTTCTTCTTATTATTAATGTTGAGCTGCAACACAAACGTATTTTTGTGGAAGCTATGATACTTTTGTTCAGGATTTGCACTTGAGAAGTATTCATTTCTAAAAAAAAAAATAATAATAATTATAAAAGAGAAACTACCCCTATATTTTTGATCAGTAGTGTATTTGTATTATTGTTTATTTTTTTGTATCTTGCATTTTCATCTCTTTTATGTCTCTCATCTTTCTCCCTAGTTACCTTGGCCTGGGCTTGATGTCAGCCAGACTTGCTGTGTTGGGAGGGTTTGAAGGACAGCCTTGTATGTGGTCTACAATCTCTCTTCATCTCTGGCTTTTAAAGACCTCATTCACTAGATAAATAAGCCATTATCTAATCTCTTAATAACGCACTGAAGATTAATTCCTTGGTGGCCAGCTGTTGCACTGATTTAGTTGAAGCCAAAGAGAAACTGCCATCAGTGCAATAGTTTCTACATGCAGTTTACTGCTGAGATTTACATTTAGCACTCTACTACAGATGTAATCAGATTTCTTTGTTTATAGTTTTGTCTGTTGTATGAGTGTATCCCGCTTCTCTCTGAGTGGGTTTTAAGGTTATTATGAGCAAAACCTGCTTGTATTTGTGTAAACGTGCTTTTATGTTTGGCCACCGGGTGGCACTGCAGAACTCATGTTTGGAAATGTGTTCCTCAGCAGTGCCGCACTTACTCCACATAGTGGCAGTAAAAACGATAATATGCATAAAAAAACTTCTTCTTCTTCTTCTTCTGTAGCAGGACCCCAAGAGCTGATTAGTCCATGTCTAGCCTCCGATTACTCTGGACAGTGGGAGCATGCAGAAGTACTCTATACTGTGAAAGGCCAGAAAGCAGGTATGAAATGTTGTCTGTATGGGTTTGGTTTTTGGATTTATTTAACCTTTAAAGTCCCCCTGTAATCAATAATTGTATCCCTTAAACTCATCTTTGATCACTGCCCCGTCTCCACTCAACTTAAGCTCAGAATACCTGGTCAACTTTACTGTAGCAAACCCTGCACAATGGCAAGTGGAAATACTGGTTTTAGACATAATATGTTTGACCCAGAAACTGATTCAGACGAAAAAGTGGAAGAGTGAATTATAGGGTCGTCTACAAGTCGATGGATCAGAACGTGCCCACCGGCACGTTGACGTGATTGTTTCACTGCAGTTTTAAAGAAAACGATACTCAGCAATGGTGTTGACCTATGAATTTGTCTTAAAACGTATTAAAAACACAAAATATACATAAACAACATTTAAAAACTTGATTTTTACCACAGGGGAGTGTTTAATTACTCCTCAGAATTGTATCATACATAAGATCTTATAAAAAAATAAATATATATATATATACGTATATATATATATATATAATGTGTGTTTGTTTGGTTGTGTGTAATGTATATAATAAACAGTCCTGTTTATCAATGAAGAGTGAACCTGTGTGTGGTTTATTTGAATCACTTGTGTATGTGCTCTTTTCCAGGGGAGCCCATCTATGAGTCTTGCCTTAAAAAAGTGGAAAAGATGATCTACAAACGGGTGAGAAAAACAGAGGAAGTAAAAGACATAGACTTCTACGCATTCTCTTACTACTACGACAGGGCCGTGGATCTGGGCCTCATTGGTGAGATTAGTCTGATTGCTGTCATTTGATCTGATTCAAACATTGTCTGTTTTATTCTAAGATTTAGAAAATGAGTCATTTACAAATAGTTTGTCTCTGTCTTAGATGAAAGTAAAGGGGGAACTGTCAGAGTCAGTGATTACATTGAAGGCGCCAAAAAAGGTAAGTGTTTTGGATGTGGTTTTATTAGTCTGATTATATTTGTGCAAGTAACACTACCATTCAAAAGTCTGGGATCAGTATTTTTTTTTTTCAGAAAGAAATTAATATTTGTATTCAGCAAGATGCATAAATTGATAAAAAAAGGGACTGTTAAGACTTTTACATTGTTACAAAAGATTCCAAATAAATGCTGTTTTTTGAATTTCCTATTCATTTAAAAATTCTGAAAAAATGCATCACTGTTTCCACAAAAATATTTTTCAATAACAGTGAAGACTGCAGTAATGGCTGCTGAAAATCACATTGCCAGCGCTGGAATAAATTACATTTTAAAATATAGAAAAATAGAAAACAGATATTTTAAATAAAGGCAGCTTTTTTTGAGAGAGAGAGACCTAATGACTTCTTTTAAAAGGAAACAAAATAAATCTTACCAACCCAGTGTCGTGGCAGGTATACGTTATGAGGCTGTCATTATTGCTGTAATAGATTTAAAAAAAGATTTCACTCAGTTTAGCTCTACAAAAAAATGTATCCATTTTCTTCTATGTGTTGCAGTGTGCAATAACATGTCAGCCGGAGGAATAAATGAGACTCCATTCCTGTGTTTGGATCTGACCTACATCTCTGTACTTCTTCAGGAGCTTGACTTCCCGCCTGATAAAGAGCTGAAGGTGTGCTACTCTTGATTTATGATTCCTGACTTAATAGGACTGACTGTGTGGTGCACAGATACACAGATTGCAACACACACATATATATATATATATATATATATATATATATATATATATATATGTTCAACTACAGCAATGTGTGATTTATCGGTTTAATTTTGAGGAGCAAATTTCCTGACTAATGGGAGAACTGTGATGTCTTTTAACCATATCATTCTGTTTAAATTTCAGCTGGCAAGACAAATAAATAATGTGGAGACTAGCTGGGCCCTCGGGGCCACTTTCCAGTGCATAGAGTCACTCCGTAAGCACGGAACGTGCTGAAAACACACACTCACAACGTTGTAATTTTCCACAACCCAGTAAAGCACTGACTGGTTTTAATTCTCTGGGAAAAAATATCTACATTGATTGTATTTGCCATTTTGTCATTGAACTTGTTGAAAATGTGAGTTTTTATACATACCTCTGACTTTCTGAATGTTTCTTACTTGAGTGTAAAGTTATGTGTGAAGGTAAAATGTATGTACTAGTCTGGGTGTTTACAGCATGTCAGAATCATATCAATCAGGGTTAACTATACATAACTGATCAAAAAAATTATTTCACTCAAGTTGAAGTTATTTCATTTGTATCTTATGTTTAATTATTTTTTCAGCTTTTAGATCAGTTTAATATATTACATATGTTAAAAAAATCATATACTTAAATATTTACTCTCAGATGGAAAGGGATTTTTTTTTCTTTTGTTAAGAACAGACCTTAGCTGTTGCAGTCATGTCCATGTATTTTTCTCAGATGAAACTGTTTGATGAGGCCATGTTCTTTACTATTTAATGTATTAAATATGTTTATATGAAATGCCAAAAAATTGTAACCTGTGTCTGTTAAAAACTTTGCTTCCAGTATTGAGAAAGTGCAAGTACACAAAGTTCACAAGGTTATAAAGTGAGACAGCAGGATGTGGTCTGGCTCCAGTCACGTCCTTCAACTGTACATACTTGCTGTTGTTCGTTCTTGGCACCAGCAGATGTCGCAACAATAAGGCATGCAGAGGCATGCCGAAATGTCACAATATATTACTCAGAAGGATGTTAGAAAAGACACTCCATTTTATAATCTGTAATGCATTTACAAAATATGAGTTTCCTTGTCCTTGTCTGTAACATAACTTGCCTATCTTTGGAGCAAATGATATGGTATGAAAATACAGTTCCATGTTTTTGAGAGCACATCAACTTGCATTCCTCTCTGAACCCCATAACACGGGCACTTTCAAACTCTGGTTCGGAAAGGAAGTACTGAGGGTCTGTGGAATAGTTTAATAAATAAATAATATTAAACTAAATATTTAAATATATAGAGGTTTGCATTAGGATAAATGACCATATCTGGGGGTCCATGTATAGTTCATCACGCTAAGTGCAAGTCAACCACCCACATACAGTACTTATCCGACTTCTAGGGCTGTAGAAGGCTTCATATTGTGGATCAAAATCAACCCCGAACTGTATCAATTAGTAAAAATATAATAATGGAAACTCGACTCGTATGAAGCGCACGGATATGAGCGTAGCTACGAGCTGAAAAAGGCAGTTGGGCCAGCAAGTTACTATATAATGTAGCAATGCTACATTATATAGTAGTTACTGGCCCAGATGCAGTTGATTATACACTAAAACTGCGAAATTCACTCAAACTGGATCACCTAGTTCAGAATGCATTATACCTGGTCCTGTAGTAGCACCATAGACTGTAAAAAGAGCCTGCGATGCATGGATGATTGACGTCTCACGCAACCTATGGAAACGCAATTACGATAGTTTCACTTGCCAATAAACAGGCGGGATTTAAGCCCGCCCACCTTCTTCTCCAGTTGACAAAGGGGTGTGTCTCAAAAAGCAGGGAACAGTGCGTGTAAAGTCCTCCTACCTTCACCGCACAAACCTGTGCACAAGTCAAGGGTCCAAATTTTCATTCTTTGCTTTTTAAAGGCATTGCCAACATGTCCAAACCTCTAACTGATCAGGAAAAGCGCAAGCAGATCAGTGTTCGCGGTATAGCTGGACTGGGGGATGTTGTCGAAATCAAAAAGAGCTTCAACAGGCATCTTCACTTCACTCTAGTGAAGGACCGCAATGTGGCCACCCCACGGGATTATTACTTCGCCCTGGCCCACACGGTGCGGGATCACCTGGTGGGCCGCTGGATCCGCACTCAGCAGTATTACTATGAGAAAGACCCGAAGGTACGGTACGGATCGCTTCCTCCTCTTGCAGCGAGGAAGTAGCATGTTTGTGCAGTAGTGGGATAAGTTACATGAAATGCATTTAATGTGGAATTTATGTTTACGAATTTAAACCTCTAGTTTATGCATCTGGCAAGTTGGTGCCTCCATAATTGTATTACTGGAGAATTGCACACTGCTGCATGGATGGCACAAGGGCTTCTTTAGTTAAAATATTTGCACAAATCATTATTCTCATCCCAACTCATTTATTGTGAGTCAGTCATTAATTTCACGGTTTTCTGGTGACAGTTCAAGAACTGTATTTGTTTCCTTCTAGCTTGGTGTTCTGTGCATTGGCCATACATTGACATTGGGTCAGCTGTTAAAAAGTTTGATCACCTTGTCATATTAGGGCATCATTAGTTAACTATTTTGCAACAACTTATTCTCTGTGCTCACTAGGGCAAGTACAGATTGCACTATACTGTCAAACCCAGTTGAAGATAATAGGTTTTATCTAATGCATTGACATGGTCCATGTACAGCATTACTTGTGGCTATTAATAGACAACTATTACATGGGTGCTTAATGAGTTGGGAGGTCATGATGGTTTTTTGGAGAGTAATTTGGCAAAACTTTGTCTTTTGTGGCTCCATGGATGTGGCTGTGAAGCTTAATGTGACTTGTTTGTTGATGAACATGGAATCTAACTATGGAAATGATTTATTTATTGAATGTTCCTGTTCTGGACTTGACTGCTTTCCAGAGATGTGTGTGTGCTTAATTTCAGCTGTCCTTTTTGAACCAATAAGGAAAGCCTGTGTTTTCCCTCCTGGCTGGATATCTCTTATTGGAAGCAGATAGCTTTATATGGTTGAGCACACCAATATGTGAAGCATTTCCAGGAACTTCACTCTTGTAAAGCGTGACGCTTGTTGAAGTTCAGGCACTTGGAAAAACAGTAAAGCACCGTCACTTTATTTAAACCCACGCTATGCACTATGCTGTGATTATTAAGCCCCATCTCAGCAGCATGCATTTATTTGTTACTGTGGTATTCAGATGTTGTTCAATGTGTATTTGAGGCATTCAGCAGTCTGTAAACTTCTCCCAGTGCAGACATCTGATGAATGAACCAAGCCAACAAGATCAAAATAGGCGTGTTGTACTTCAGTAACATACCAGAGAGTTCAAGTATGCAGTAAACCCTATAAAAATTGTGAAAATACAAGCTTACACTAACTGCAACAAATAAAATCGCTCTTCTAACATTAGAATTAATTCATATTTGAACTGGAAAGAAGCTGTTTTTTTTTAATCTACTCCAATCTTATAATATTTATTTAAATATTTAATTTCTTAAAAAATATTTAATAACAGGACAAAGCAATTGACGGTTAATCGCAGATTAATATTGACACAATAACATCACATTAATAAAACAATAAATAGTGAAGTTGTGTTATTGTGTCATTTGTAATTTCAAATTTCATGACAAATTAATTGATCTAAGATTTAATTCAAACATTGATTTAACATATTTGTCTGTGGGCAATGCACATTTGCTGTTTTCAAATATTTGTATAAAATATTTTAATGTCATAATATATTGGATTAAATTCATTTATTATAGGCTAAACAGTCAATTTTAGGGAAAAAAACAATGTATTGGTTGACCTTTGTTTCAGTTCATATTCTGATTAATTGTAATGTTATAAGGGAGTATAATGTTTCACAACTTTTGTGCCTACATGATCTGCTAGTTCAAATATTTCTGTGCACATGCAGTGAGGTTTTATTTGTGTGGTGTTTTTTTTTGTTGTTGTTGTTGCAGCGCATCCACTATCTGTCTCTGGAGTTCTACATGGGCAGAACTCTACAGAACACCATGATAAATCTTGGGCTGCAGAATACCTGTGATGAGGCCATCTACCAGGTAAAATGCATCACTGACATAGCAAACTTAATGATCATTTAAAGCATTTGTTACTGAATTGCAGAACTGGCCCAGAGCTCTGTTACTTAAACATCCTGAAACTTTAGAAACAGCTGTTGTTTTTCCCCTGCTCACCCACAGAGTGCTCATGGGGGATGTAGACCAGTTGCCACAGGCTTGCAAAACTGTTAGTCTAAACCCTTCCTCGTTTGAATTAGAGAAAACACGGAAATTGCCGAAACATTAAACTGTATGAAATTAGCATAATCTGTTGAAATTTTGTTGCCCAATGTGAACATTTGTCTTGTATACATGTTTTTATTTTGTGTGTGTGTGTGTGTGTGTGTGTTTTAACATGATCTGTTCTGCAATATATTGATCTTTAGCTTGGACTGGATTTGGAAGAATTAGAGGAGATTGAGGAGGATGCAGGGCTGGGAAACGGTGGGCTCGGGCGTCTTGCAGGTACCTACAGTACATTTAAAACTCCCTACATCCTAGTAAATGTCCCCGTCTTATTGGATGTTTGATGTCTGCCTTCTCTCCCAGCTTGTTTCCTGGACTCAATGGCATCTCTGGGTTTGGCGGCTTATGGTTATGGCATTCGTTATGAGTTTGGGATCTTCAATCAGAAGATCACCAGTGGCTGGCAGGTAAACCAAAACTGAAAAATAGAATTTATAATGTTAATTTTCAGTATATGTTTACCATTGCATTTCATTTTATTTAGTTAGTAGATAAAATATTGGAATTTTTTTTTGTTGTTGTTGTTGTTTAGGTTGAGGAAGCTGATGATTGGCTTCGTTATGGTAATCCTTGGGAGAAGGCCCGTCCCGAGTACATGCTTCCTGTGCATTTCTATGGCCGAGTTGAGCAAACTCATGAGGGACCAAAGTGGGTTGACACTCAGGTCAGTCAGTAATAATCTAGTGCTGTGGGATATCAGGGGGGAAACATGGCTATAAAAAAAAAAAAAAAACTGCAACCACATTCACTATCATTCAAAAGATTGTTGTAATATTTCTGAAAGAAGTCTGTTATGCTCATGGGTGCATTGATTTGAACAAAAATACAGTAAAACAGTAAAATTATTTCTAAATATTATTAAAATATTTTCATTAAATGATTACAATAAAAAATAACTTTTACCATTCAGTACTTTAAGAACTTTATTCTTATTGTCAGCATCATTACTCCAGTCTTCAGTGTCACATCCTTCAGAAGTCATTCTAATATGCTGATTTGCTGCTCAAGAATTTATTATCAATGTTGTCGTGCAGCCAAATAAGTTATACATGTTATACATGTTGGGTTTTTTTTCAATAGAAAGGTAAAACGAACATAATTTATTTAAAATAGATTTTTTTGTAACACTTGATTAAGTGAACGTATCCTTCATTTCTTTTAACAAAAGCTTTTAAATGTTACTGTAATTGTGGATAAATAGGATGGCAAAATTAAAATCAGTCATGTCTATATTTTACTGTACCGCTCTGTCTTTTCTTTGGCAGGTGGTGCTTGCAATGCCTTATGACACTCCTGTGCCTGGTTATAAAAACAACACTGTGAATACTATGAGACTGTGGTCTGCCAAAGCGCCTAATGATTTCAACCTGCAAGAATGTGAGTCAACACAATGATCAGCTCACATGATCAGCAGTCTGAGCTCCAGTATAAAACATTTCTGGTTTGGTTCTACTTTTGGCTGAATCACTGAAATTAAGTGAGCTTCTCTGTTCTGGTTTGTTTGGAGGGTTCCAGGTGAGCTTTGTGTGAGCTCAGATTATTACATACTTGAAATTTCCAGTTGCGTGCAGTATTATTGAAATAGTCTTTTATATTACTGTTAGTTTGAGTTTACACTTACCTTCTCAGTTGAGTTTAAATTAAAGTGAACTTGTTTCCTGGGAGAATGGTTTCTGTGTAGAATACTAAATATAGGCCTCTTCACCAGAGCAATGCATCAGCAGCACAGAAACAGGAGAGCAGCTGGCAACAGGCCAGTGTTACCCAGAGATACGCCTGCTTTTGAGAGTCCTTCATGATTCTAGGGCCTCTGGGCCTCCACAGTCAATGTCTCATTCTATATTATATACATACTCTTAAAGGGATACTCCACTTTTTTTTGGAAATAGGCTCATTTTACAACTCCCCAGAGTTAAACAGTTCAGTTTTACCGTTTTCAAATCCATTCAGCCGATTTCCGTATATTTGGAAGAATATCAGTAACCAGACAGTTTCTGGTCTCATTGACTTCCATAGTATATTTTTTTTCCTACTATGGAAGTCAATGAGACCAGAAACTGTCTGGTTACTGATATTCTTCTAAATATCCGAAAATCAGCTGAATGGATTCGAAAACTGTAAAACTCAACTGTTTAACTCTGCGGGAGGGGTAAAATTAGCCTATTTCCAAAAAAAGTGGAGTATCCCTTTAAGGTTTTGTGTTCTACATACACATACATTAGTGTATATATACAGCCCAAATCAGAAAAAGTTGGGACATTTTGTAAAATGCAACAAAATCAACAATTTGTTATTTGTTCATTCTTTTTAACATTTTTTAACTGACAAAAGTAAAAAGAAATGTTTTCCAAGGTTTTCACTGACCAACATAATTGTATTTTGTAAATATGAACAAATTTTGACTTTAGCTGCAACACACCCCAAAAAAGTTGGGACAAAATCTTGAAGCACTAACAGGTAGGATATATACAAATTTAATAAAGTTATCAAACACTTAACAACCTTCACTGTGTAATTTCTAAATTAAAGATTGAATAATCCTTATTAAAGCTACAAAAGTTATTCAGCCAAGAGCAGTGCGTGATTCTCTTAATGACAGACAGCAGCGGGTTTATTAGGCTGCTGTCACTTTATATGACGTGCCTCCCATTTTATCACAACTCTTTAGGTTTATTTAAGACTCCATTTATGACTGCTGGTGAGGAATACTTGACAAAATAGGCATTTTAGCATGTCATTTTGAAATACTCTCTCTTAATTGTAGTCAATGTGGGAGATTACGTCCAGGCTGTATTGGATCGAAACCTGGCAGAGAACATCTCCCGGGTGCTCTACCCCAATGACAATGTACGTACACTCACTTTTCAATGCTATAAAACTCTCGCTGAGGATGTTTGATGGACAGAATGTACACAGAGAGAGAGAACAGAGAGCAGGAATTTGAACATGATGTGCATTAAGTTACTATAATAACAAACACTGACAATCATATATGTGTAAATTTAGACTGTGTCAATGCTGGTATGTAAAATATGCTTTAGCTGACTGACTGACATGAGCAGATTTCATCAGAGAAAACTCTAATCTTATGCAACAGTGCCACTGACATGTTTAACACATTGTGGAAGTATGAAAATGGAATTTTATGAAGTATAAAATGTGTCGTAATACAGTAGTGTATATTGTTTTTATTCACTCAACTATTAAACTAAGAAAACAAAATGCTTGGTTATTCTGTCCGAAAAAAACGTACAGTAAATGGAATGTTTTTCTGTTTGTAAAGCTTTCAGTGTGTCTGTATTAATATGAATGTATTCCTTTGTATGTGCATGTGTTAGTTTTTCGAAGGGAAGGAGCTCCGTTTAAAGCAGGAGTACTTTGTGGTGGCTGCTACTCTGCAGGACATCATCAGACGCTTTAAATCGTCAAAGTTTGGCTGCAGGGATCCCGTGCGCACCTCTTTTGAGGCTTTCCCTGAAAAGGTTATATGATATGATTGAAAACATTCATTGACTGAATTTTCAGACACAAATCCGCAAAGGTTTTTGCTGTCACGAAGAATAACGGTTTCAACACCACTCTCTCAGGTGGCGATTCAACTGAATGATACTCATCCAGCTCTGGCGATTCCTGAACTCATGAGAATCCTGGTGGATATAGAGCGGCTGGACTGGGAAAAGGTGTGGTGTTCAGGCCGTCAAAATGACATAAGATAATTCCTTGAAAGCTGTTTTGTTGTTCGGCCTAGTCATGTTGACATGAGTAATAGATAAAGCATTGGTAATAATGTAAAGTATTGTTCATTCACCCATACAACTTTTTTTACATACAATTTTCTTGGAAGTTATTTTATTTATAATAGGACTTTCCAAAATCCGCATTGAAGTGTGCATGTGTGTGTATGTAGGCATGGGAGATTACGACAAAGACGTGTGCGTACACAAACCACACGGTGTTACCCGAGGCTCTGGAGCGCTGGCCTGTCTACATGTTTGAGAAGCTTCTGCCACGACACCTGCAGATCGTCTATGAAATCAACCGTCGCCATCTGGATGTGAGGATACACACATTGGCGAACTCAAATTCATCTTAGTTTTTTCTAGTTGGTCTGATGGACTCTCTGTTGTAGAGAATTGCTGTGCTGTATCCAGGCGACCATGATCGCTTGCGCAGGATGTCTCTGATCGAGGAGGGCGATCCAAAGAGGATCAACATGGCTCACCTTTGTGTGGTCGGGTCACACGCCGTCAACGGAGTTGCACGGATTCACTCAGACATTGTCAAAACCACTGTGTGAGTAGAGTGCATAAGTCTATATACAAAAATATTTGACAGCAAATGAATTTTCCAGGGAGCCAATTTTAATGCTATTTAGGTCAATTGTATATTACATTTGGAACTTGCATAAATTAATTTATTTTTTAAACTGGTTTAAGATTTAAGGACTTTTTTGATGTTGAGCCGGAGAAGTTTCAGAACAAGACAAACGGCATCACACCTCGTCGCTGGCTGCTGCTCTGCAACCCTGGCCTGGCTGACATCATCGCTGAGGTGGCTGCCTTAACTTATTATTCATGCAGTTGTTGTAAAATTGTGTAGTGTTTTATTTAAAATGTTATTATTTTATTTTATCCAGCTCTTGCTTGCTCTACCTCCACAGTTTTTTTTCTGTCCCTCACTATCTTTCCCTTTCAGAAAATTGGTGAGGACTTCCTGACGGATCTGTTCCAACTAAAAAAACTTTTGGATTTCATCAATGATGAAATGTTCATTCGGGATGTGGCTAAAGTGAAGCAGGTCTACATTTAAATTATTATTTTTTTTAAATAAATACATACATACTTTGACAAGATTTTGATGATTATAATGTATAGGAGTCTTTTTCAAACTTTAAAAAGACAGAATAAAAAAAATGTTCTTCATGTTTAAATTTTTTGTTGTTGTTTTTAGGAGAATAAGCAGAAGTTTGCAGCTTATCTGGAGAATGAGTACAAAGTAAAGATAAACCCTGAGTCCATCTTTGACATCCATGTCAAGAGAATCCATGAGTACAAGAGACAACTGCTCAACTGCCTTCATGTCATCACTTTATACAACAGTACGAAAATACATAAAGAAAAACACAGCAATGTATTCAAGATGGAAGATCACTGCCACCTATCTGAGCACTGACGAACTGACCAGAGAAAACATTGCACTTTTTGTTTTTGTTTTATCATAATTATTTCATAGATCATTTTTTTTAAATGGCCCGAATGAATTAATGATTTTGAATCTGATTTTATAAATTATTTTATTCTGCACTTTTCTAGGGATCAAGAAAGAACCAAACAAGAAGTTTGTTCCCAGAACCGTAATGATTGGAGGAAAGGTAAGTGAATTCAAAAAATGAAAAAAATAATAATAATAATAAAATATATATATATATATATATATATATATATAAATAGTCATTCTAGAATCAGGGCTACATTCCAAGTTTCCCAGGTAAACCTTTTATTAAAAAAGAAAACAACAACAAAAAACTTTTGATTAATAACACAATATGTATATATAGGAAAAAAATGTATTGGAAATACTCAAATATTCAGTCCAGTGCTAAAAGGCTTTTATCTCTGATCCTACACTGCCTCCTGCAGGCGGCTCCAGGCTACCACATGGCAAAGATGATCATTAAACTGATCACCTCAGTGGGGGAGGTGGTCAACAATGATCCTGTGGTGGGAGACAGACTGAAGGTCATTTTCCTGGAGAACTATAGAGTCTCATTAGCTGAGAAGGGTGAGTAAATGCATTAACAGCTGTTAATGGATAGCTATAAAAATATCAGATTTATTAGATATTTGTCAAGATAATCAAATAATTAATTTTGCTATAGCTGCATCATAGTTATTTTATTTATTGGATGTCATGGGTTATAAAGTCTTTTGAATTTGTCATGTGCTTTGCTCTTCAGTGATCCCTGCTGCCGACCTATCCGAGCAGATCTCCACGGCAGGCACTGAAGCCTCCGGGACGGGAAACATGAAGTTCATGCTTAATGGCGCTCTGACCATCGGCACCATGGACGGCGCCAACGTGGAGATGGCAGAAGAAGCTGGAGAGGAAAACCTGTTCATCTTTGGCATGCGGGTTGAGGATGTGGAGGCCATGGACCAAAAGGGGTGAGAAAGAGTGGTATACGGGATGCAATTATGTGCAATTACTAAGTGATTGCGTTATGTGATTGGATTATGGGTAACCAATGATTTTATAATTCATACACATCCCCCCCCCCCCCCCCAATGCATTTAAGTTGACCCTTAAATTCATGTTTTCATAATAAGGTCATACAATTGTGTAAAAATTACTATTTTATTCAAACATTTGATGGAAACATGAATATTATGCTCTACTGCAACAAAAATCAATAGAAAATGTGATATCATGTTTCTATTTTCATAATTGGGTTGTTTTTATTTTGTCACAATTTAGTTGGATGTATAGTTATTGGGACAGTGCTTTAAAGGCTTTGCTGATTAAGAAAATTACCAAACTTGCAATAGAGAACCATTGATTATTCATTGATTATTGATTTTTTTTTCATTTAGGTTTAATTTAGGTAATTTAGCCCAATTTAGTTTTTTAATCCTTTTTTGTTTTTACATATTTACTTTTTCATGAGTCCATCTTTTTCAAGTTTTTTAATTTGTCATCTAGATACAATGCCAGGGAATACTACGAGCGCCTGCCTGAACTTAAACAGGTGATGGATCAAATCAGCACTGGATTCTTTAGCCCCAAAGAGCCTGAACTCTTCAAAGACATTGTCAACATGCTCATGAATCATGACAGGTGGGCAGCAAAGAGTGCACTGTAATTTATTCCTTCACTCCTTGTTTGAAGATAGCATTTTCTAGTGTCTTACAGGTCTATATCTTTGTATCTCTATCTGTGTATATTTTTGCATTTCTTCTGTTGTTTTTAATCTCTCAGGTTCAAGGTGTTTGCAGACTATGAATCATATATCAGCTGTCAAGAAAAAGTTAATGAACTCTACAGGGTGAGTTATGATGGTTTGGATATTCATTAGAGGTCTACCAACATGGGGATTTCAGAGGCTATTTCATAATTTGAACATTTTAAATATTTTTTTTCTTTATGATCTATCTATATTAAACCTATAATATGTCATTTTTAATGATATCTTGTAAACTATAATTATATAAAACATCTGAGAACAGAAAGTGTTTTTGTAATTGACAAGTGGGCACCAACACTCCTTTTAATTGTTAGCTGACCAAGTAGATCAATCAGCCAATAAATGAAGTTTGTGGACTGCTTGTAACTTTTTTTAAGCTTTGTTTATTCAGTATAAGTACAATCCCCCACTCCTTTTTATTTATTTACTCAGAACCCAAAAGAATGGACCAAAACAGTGATCAGGAATATTGCTGCTTCTGGAAAGTTCTCCAGTGACCGCACCATCACGGAGTACGCCCGTGAGATCTGGGGAGTTGAGCCGTCGGACGTCAAGATCCCGCCCCCTAATGAGCCACGGGAATGAGGAGTTGGGAACACTGGGTCTGCTTGCCTGTTCCTCAACCATTCCCAGTGTGTTGGTGTGCCTTCAGGTTTCTCTCACTATGCATAACACCACATGAAACCTCTTTGAACTTCACAACTGTAGTGTACCTTCAATATACACACAAACTAACTCCTTCATGTGCACTTACACTGTAGTACATTTTAAATTACTGTCAACTTTCACTTGCCCATACTCAATTTTCATGGATTCTCTTATGCCAATTCAATTTGTTGCATATCTGAGACTAATTTATTGAAGCTTCATTTAGTTAAGCCTAGCCTAAGTTTACTGCTGTATTAATGCATGTGTAAATTCTCAATTTTGGTGCATTCCTTTTATCATTTTTAAGGGTGTCCATTCTGACTGATTATAACAGAGATGCCACTTAAGTTTCAATAGCCAAGACAATAGTTCTGTCCCTGTTTTATGTATTTTAGGAATTGAAATCAGAAACTGGAACACAGACAAGTATCCTGGTTTCTTAGTAGCTTCGGGAAATATTTGATCATCAGCCACCTTTGGTTTGTTTAAATCCAGTAGAATTAGTCTCCCTGCCCTAAAATACAATATATAACCAGTCAGAAACAACCATCTCAAAAGTGGCAAACAGCGTTAATGTAATGACTCCAGAACGCATGTGGTTCAGTGTCCAAATTATCTTTTTATTCAAGCTTTCTGACGCAGGTTTAAGGGTGCCTTGTGTGTATACTTTGCAATATTAACAACAATAATGTAAATATTTCATAAAACAATGAGAATAGAAGATATATGGCAGCTGGCTGATGTAAACTCACAGGAATCCATCTAAACTTGAACTATGACCCTTTTCATAAAGCAAATTCCAAACAGCATTTAAGATTCCAGGCTGTCATTTGAACGTATGCTTATGGATGTCATCTTTGAATATTCACACTTGTACTGAGGCCTTGTTTTCTTGCTATTTTTTTACACAAGTACTGTAAGGAAATTACCATGTTAACAAATAATAAAATAAATAAAAACAGTATGCTGTTGACTTACTTGACTAAACAAGGCGATTCCAATTGCAAGTTGGAGATTTCATGTTCATTGTTGTAAAGATTGAAGGGTGTTGTCATGTTACAATTCACTCAGTCAGTATAGTAATGAATGGCTTGAACAGGTGTTGGGTGAGGTACAAGTGAAGGTATGAATGATAACCTGATACATAAAAACAAACAAACAAACTTGAAACTAACCCCAAGCTTTCCTGTTATGTAACTAGTTTAAAGGGTTAGTTCGCCCAAAAATGAAAGTTAGCTCGCCCTCATGTCGTTCCAAGCCTGTAAGTTCTTCTTCGTAACACCGTTTAAGATATTTTAGATTTAAACTACGACTTTATTCAGCATTGTATTGTCTTCCAGTTCTGTTGTCAAGCCGCATTCAGTGATGTTGATGACGTAAGTTAAGTCGTAGTTTTTTTTATTTTTGGACAAATGTTTTTCCGATGCTTCAAAACATTCTAACTAACCCACTGATGTCACATGGACTACTTTGATGATGTCTTTATTTCCTTTCTGGACAAGGACAGTATACCCTACATACATTTTCAATGGAGGGACAGAAAGCTCTTGGCAGTGGTGGAATGTAACGAAGTACAAATACTTTGTTACTTTACTTAAGTACATTTTCCACGTATCTTTACTTTACTTAAGTAGAATAAATAGCGCATAATTTTTACTTTTACATCATTACATTTTGCAGCAATTATTATAGACCATTTTGCAAGATGTAAACAACACTGGTCCAGAAACACTTCCTGTTTCAGTTTGTAACTGTTTTCTTTATTTCACATGTAAAGAAAACATCTTAAAGATGTTACTTAACTTTTTGATTCAGTTTTACATGTTCTGTTGGTTGTATTTTATCCCAGCTTTTTTGTAGTGTTAAAAAAACTGAAACAGGAAGTGCTTCTGGACCTGTGTTGTTTACATCTTGCAAAATGGTCTATACTTTCTACTCCACTACATTTCTACAACTTCTGTTACATTTTCTGATTAGTTTTTCCCCTGCCAAAACGTAATCTAACTGTCCGTTGCACGTTTGTCTCACCAGTGATGTTTGGTTGCCATAGAGCCTCCATTTTTGCACTCGGGTGCACTCCCATGGCCCTCTATCAGAATCCAGAGTTTCAAGAAGATTGGACAAACTCTGGATTCTGATAGAGGGCCATGCGACTTAGACATGAGTGCAAAAATGGAGGCTCTAGTCTAGACCCTTCCAGAGCTGAGATATTGAGATACCACGTAGCATTTATGCCATTATAAATATCTCAATATCTCAGCTCTGGAAGGGTCTAGAGCCTCCATTTTTAGCACTAGGGTCTAAGTCCCATGGTCCTCTATCAGAATCCAGAGTTTCAAGAATATTGGATAAACTTATTTTTTTTGCACAAAAAAAAAAACGAAAGGGGTAACACTGTCGTTTTTTTTGGGTCGAAATTTTGAGTTTCTCTGATCTTCTTGAAACTCTGGATTCTGATAGAGGGCCATGAGACTTAGACCTGAGTGCAAAATGGAGGCTCTAGCCCCTTCCAGAGCTGAGATATCGAAACTCAAAAATTCGCCCTGAAAAAAAAAACGACAGTGGTACTACGTTTTTTTTTTTTCGGGTGAAAAATTAAGTTTCTCCAATCTTCCAAAACTCTGGATTCTGATAGAGGGCCATGAGACTTAGACCTGAGTGCAAAAATGGAGGCTCTAGCCCCTTCCAGAGCTGAGATATCGAAACTCAAAAATTAGGCCCGAAAAAAAAAACGACAGTGGTACCCCTTACGTTTTTTTTTTTTTTCGGGCGAAAAATTAAGTTTCTCCAATCTTCCCAAAACTATGGATTCTGATAGAGGGCCATGAGACTTAGACCCGAGTGCAAAAATGGAGGCTCTAGCCCCTTTCAGAGCTGAGATATCGAAACTCAAAAATTCAGCCCGAAAAAAAAAACGACAGTGGTACCCCTTACGTTTTTTTTTTTTGGGTGAAAAATTAAGTTTCTCCAATCTTCCCAAAACTCTGGATTCTGATAGAGGGCCATGAGACTTGGACCTGAGTGCAAAAATGGAGGCTCTAGCCCCTTCCAGAGCTGAGATATCGAAACTCAAAAATTCGGCCCGAAAAAAAAACGACAGTGGTACCCCTTACGTTTTTTTTTTTCGGGCGAAAAATTACGTTTCTCCAATCTTCTCAAAACTCTGGATTCTGATAGAGGGCCATGATACTTGGACCTGAGTGCAAAAATGGAGGCTCTAGCCCCTTCCAGAGCTGAGATATCAAAACTCAAAAATTCGGCCAGAAAAAAAAAACGACAGTGGTACCCCTTACGTTTTTTTTTTTTTCGGGCGAAAAATTAAGTTTCTCCAATCTTCCCAAAACTCAGGATTCTAATAGAGGGCCATGAGACTTAGACCTGAGTGCAAAAATGGAGGCTCTAGCCCCTTCCAGAGCTGAGATATCGAAACTCAAAAATTCGGCCCGAAAAAAAAATTGACAGTGGTACCCCTTACGTTTTTTTTTTCGGGCGAAAAATTAAGTTTCTCCAATCTTCCCAAAACTCTGGATTCTGATAGAGGGCCATGAGACTTGGACCTGAGTGCAAAAATGGAGGCTCTAGCCCCTTCCAGAGCTGAGATATCGAAACTCAAAAATTCGCCCCGAAAAAAAAACGACAGTGCTACGGTTTTTTTTTTTTTCGGGCGAAAAATTAAGTTTCTTAAATCTTCCCAAAACTCTGGATTCTGATAGAGGGCCATGATACTTAGACCTGAGTGCAAAAATGGAGGCTCTAGCCCCTTCCATATCGAAACTCAAAAATTCGCCGCGAAAAAAAAACGACAGTGGTACCCCTTACGTTTTTTTTTTTTCGGGCGAAAAATTACGTTTCTCCAATCTTCCCAAAACTCTTGATTCTGATAGAGGGCCATGAGACTTAGACCTGAGTGCAAAAATGGAGGCTCTAGCCCCTTCCAGAACTGAGATATCGAAACTCAAAAATTTGACCAGAAAAAAAAACGACTGTGGTACCCCTTACGTTTTTTTTTTTTCGGGCGAAAAATTACGTTTCTCCAATCTTCCCAAAACACTGGATTCTAATAGAGGGCCATGAGACTTAGACCCGAGTGCAAAAATGGAGGCTCTAGCCCCTTCTAGAGCTGAGATATCGAAACTCAAAAATTCGGCCAGAAAAAAAAACGACAGTGGTACCCCTTACGTTTTTTTTTTTTTTGGGTGAAAAATTAAGTTTCTCCAATCTTCCCAAACCTCTGGATTCTGATAGAGGGCCATGAGACTTAGACCTGAGTGCAAAAATGGAGGCTCTAGCCCCTTCCAGAGCTGAGATATCGAAACTCAAAAATTCGGCCCGAAAAAAAAAACGACAGTGGTACCCCTTACGTTTTTTTTTTTCGGGCGAAAAATTAAGTTTCTCCAATCTTCCCAAAACTCTGGATTCTGATAGAGGGCCATGAGACTTGACCTGAGTGCAAAAATGGAGGCTCTAGACCCTTCCAGAGCTGAGATATCGAAACTCAAAAATTCGGCCCGAAAAAAAAAAACGACAGTGGTACCCCTTACGTTTTTTTTTTCGGGCGAAAAATTAAGTTTCTCCAATCTTCCCAAAACTCTGGATTCTGATAGAGGGCCATGAGACTTAGACCTGAGTGCAAAAATGGAGGCTCTAGCCCCTTCCAGAGCTGAGATATCGAAACTCAAAAATTCGGCCCGAAAAAAAAACGACAGTGGTACCCCTTACGTTTTTTTTTTTCGGGCGAAAAATTAAGTTTCTCCAATCTTCCCAAAACTCTGGATTCTGATAGAGGGCCATGAGACTTAGACCTGAGTGCAAAAATGGAGGCTCTAGCCCCTTCCAGAGCTGAGATATCGAAACTCAAAAATTCGGCCCGAAAAAAAAAAAACGACAGTGGTACCCCTTACGTTTTTTTTTTGGGCGAAAAATTAAGTTTCTCCAATCTTCCCAAAACTCTGGATTCTGATAGAGGGCCATGAGACTTAGACCTGAGTGCAAAAATGGAGGCTCTAGCCCCTTCCAGAGCTGAGATATCGAAACTCAAAAATTCGGCCCGAAAAAAAACGACAGTGGTACCCCTTACGTTTTTTTTTTTTCGGGCGAAAAATTAAGTTTCTCCAATCTTCCAAAACTCTGGATTCTGATAGAGGGCCATGAGACTTAGACCTGAGTGCAAAAATGGAGGCTCTAGCCCCTTCCAGAGCTGAGATATCGAAACTCAAAAATTCGGCCCGAAAAAAAAAACGACAGTGGTACCCCTTACGTTTTTTTTTTCGGGCGAAAAATTAAGTTTCTCCAATCTTCCAAAACTCTGGATTCTGATAGAGGGCCATGAGACTTAGACCTGAGTGCAAAAATGGAGGCTCTAGCCCCTTCCAGAGCTGAGATATCGAAACTCAAAAATTCGGCCCGAAAAAAAAACGACAGTGCTACCCCTTACGTTTTTTTTTTTTGGGCGAAAAATTAAGTTTCTTAAATCTTCCCAAAACTCTGGATTCTGATAGAGGGCCATGATACTTAGACCTGAGTGCAAAAATGGAGGCTCTAGCCCCTTCCATATCGAAACTCAAAAATTCGGCCCGAAAAAAAAAAACGACAGTGGTACCCCTTACGTGTTTTTTTTTTCGGGCAAAAAATTAAGTTTCTCCAATCTTCCCAAAACTCTGGATTCTGATAGAGGGCCATGAGACTTAGACCTGAGTGCAAAAATGGAGGCTCTAGCCCCTTCCAGAGCTGAGATATCGAAACTCAAAAATTCGGCCCGAAAAAAAAAACGACAGTGGTACCCCTTACGTTTTTTTTTTTTGGGCGAAAAATTAAGTTTCTCCAATCTTCCCAAAACTCTGGATTCTGATAGAGGGCCATGAGACTTAGACCTGAGTGCAAAAATGGAGGCTCTAGCCCTTCCAGAGCTGAGATATCGAAACTCAAAAATTCGGCCGGAAAAAAAAAACGACAGTGGTACCCC